GGCCACCCCACTGGTTTTCTCGTTTAATTATTAGAGAAAATTATAGAAAAACAGGCATTTAATTTTTCAAATTCAAAAGTCACATCTTAAGTTTATTTAATGAAAAATCAAGTATTAATTGAATATATAATTAAAACACTCACATCCAAACCCTAAATCATTTTCTTTCTCTTCTTCATCTCCTCTCCCTTTTCCTTTTCTCTTCCTCTCCCATCTCTCTTTGCCTTCTCCCTCACACATGGATCACTGTCACTACTGGAGACCACCTCCAAGCGTCGCCATCGTGCAGCGCTCTTGGTTGTGAAGCCACACCGCTCTGCCGTCTCCCTTTTTCCATCTCCCATCTCTCTCTTTGCCGCATGTCACGTCACCCCGCTCTCTCATCTCTCTCGTCACTGTGCTGCGTAGAGAACACGCTATTGTAAAACACTAATTTAAGCGCAGCATAGCAACTCTTTAAGATTGTGAGTTTCTGTTGCTCGGTCGATGTTTTGGTTTTTGTGTCTATTTTTGTCTGTGAGTTTCAGATTGTGAGATGGTGTTAGTGGCAGTGAGGTGGTATCGGTGTTTTGATTTCTGTTTATGTTTCCGTTTGTGAGTTTCAAATTGTTAAGTTTCAAATTTTGTCAAAGTTTAATACTCCGCCACATCTGGAAGTGGCGATGGTGGTGGCGGCGATGTTGCTAGATATTTGATTGGTGTTGGTGGTGTGGTGATTGGGGTAGAGGTGAGAGTGGGATGAAAGTGTTTATGACTATCTATTTGGCTGTTTGTGACCAACTATTTGGGGTGTGGTGGAGGGTTTTGTGGTGATGGATCTGGCGATTTTTGTAGTGATGGATCTGGCGGTTGGGGTGGTGTGGTGTTTTGTGTGGTGGTGGTGGTTTTGTAGTGAAATTGGTGGTTTGTTGGTGGTTGTGGTGGTGGTGAGGAGGAGGAGATGGTGGTGGTGGTGGAAAGATGGAGGGTACGATGTTTCTAGTTGTCATGAGATGGTGGTGGTTCTGGCGATGGTGATTTGGCGGCAGTGATTGTGGTTTGACGGGTCGGAGGCGATGGTGCTGCCGGAGGTCGCAAGTGTTTGTGGTGGTCACCAATTATTTGGTCGACTGCGACCAATAAATTGGTTAATTTGTAACCAATAAACAATATGTAACCAATAAAAAAATAATTTTTGACCATGAAATTACATGTGACCTAAAAAATTATTAATTTGTGATCGATAATTTAATAATTTGTGACTAACTAATGAGTTGTGACTCATAATATTTGTGATTTGTGACCTCTGACCTATTAATTTTTTGATTTGTGACCTATGAAAATTTTAATCTGTGACCGTAAAATAATTTATGACTTGTAAATTTTCTGATTTGTGATCGAAAAATAATCTGTGACCAATAAATAAGTTGTGACCCATAAGTATGTATACGTGACCATGAATTGTATAATTGTGATTTTAATATATTTAATTAATAAAATATATTTAATTAATAAATAAATACCCGATTTTTGCAGTTTTGAAACTTAAGGCCTGAAAATTGATTTGGTCATAGTTAAAACCCGATCCATGAATTCTTCCCTAATTATTATTTTTATTATGTTATTGTAATAACTTAGTTATATAAAGAACTATCAAGGTGGAGATCAAGATGGACGGGGTTTTTGCCTTCGCTAATTATTATTTATCCATTTTTCTAAACGAAAATAAATTGATTTAGATTTTAAAAAGTTACTTTTTTTTCTTTTTCTTTTTTTATCTTCTTTGTACAAAGCGATTTCAATTTAATCGTATTTTGTGAAAATTTATTAATTGCTTGAAAAAATAAATAAACATAATCTAAAATATTCACAACAGAAATGAAACTAGCCTATGTTCTGGTTTCATTTTCGTTGCTAAAATCCTACCTTTTTATAAAATTGGTCTTTGATAAGTTGGTAGTACTTGTGGGTCTTTCATAATGTGTGGTTAAAATTAATATTTTACTTTGAAACGTTATGATAATATTACTTTAATTTTCTAAAATTAAAATATTTTAGACTTTAATGGTTTAAAATTTTGAGAAAGTGATACGGAATATTTGATGAATTTTTCATATAATTATAAAGTGTAGTTGATATAATTGATTATAAGAATTATAATTGATCAGTCGGATAATTGTACTTTAACTGGATTGAATCAGATAATTACACTATGGTTTTATTAAAATTAAGGTAACACTAATCAATGTCACGGAATGAAATCGAGTATCTGATATTAATAAATAATGGCCATCACACATAAGTCTTAGTTGCAAATATTAAATAAGTATACTTTAGTGAAATAAATAACGGTTATCTTTATCGAACCACACCATCAATTTTCATTAGTTCAAGTAAAGAAATTGAACGAAGTTACCTAATAGATATCATATTAAAGTACAATTACTTGATCGGACAAAATTGAAGTACGTTTATCAAATTAAATCGGACAAAATTGAAGTACGTTTACCAAATTAACACCATAGTAAAATATAGTTACCATGAATGGATTTACCTATTTACTTTCGGTGACATGGTGAATCTATTATGATAGAAAGGAAACCTGTGAATTTTAAAAGGGAAGTGGTGTCTACGTGGTACTCAAATAACTTTTGGGAGTGTCTCAATTTTCTCTAATATTTGTTAAGAGTAATGTTACCTATATATAATTATTTATAGATTAGTGTACATAGAAAGATTAAAAAAAATAAACATCTTGAGAGAGAGAGAGGAGAGAGAGGAGAAAAGGAAATCGGTTAACTTTTAATATAATGACACGTCACATCAATTTGTGAATGATTGTGTACATATAACATTGCTCTATTTTTTATTCCACGGGAAAAAATGGAAGTTTACCCTTTTTGTGATAATTGAGACACTATAATCAGTGATCAATCGTATTTTTTTATTATCTTAACTAAACCTCTGTACCACTTAGATTAAATAAGTTTATTCAACAAAATGTTAATTTGAGATCTTCAATCATTTAAAGACACTTAATTGAAAATTAGAGTGGTGCTTCCATGAAATTGAATATCATTACTTTATTCTTAATTAAAATGATCTTATCTACACATTTAATTAATCTTATTATTGCGCACTACCACATCATGTTGAGATTATCCCATTGGAAATATAAAGAGAAATACTATTCATCCTCACTGTGGATGCATCCCCAATTTATATGGCGTTAATGTGACATTAAATGATAGGTGAAATTAAATAAGTTATTTAATTTCACCTATCATTTAACCAATCATATACATTCATATAGATTGGGAATGTATCCCCACTGGGGATGGATAGCATTTTTCAAATATAAATGATTTTGTTGGTTTAACTTTTAATTGAAGTTCAAATATTTACTTGAAATTTTGAAGTTAATTTGAATTCAATTGGACTCATGTTTGGTAGGTGATTAATTTATGATTAACGTTATTTAACATCAATTTATGTAACTGTTGGGGGTCAATTTAGAGGATAATGATGGCTGTACACCTTACCATACAGCATGGTGTACAGCCCCCTCACATGTGAGGGGGTCCACCATAAATAAAAAATATGTGGGCTCCCCTCTATGTGATGGGAGTGTACAAGCATGGTGTACATAAAGCAAGGTTCCAATTTAGGACTTCTTTGTCTCTCTTTATTTGAAAACATTGTTTTCTACAGTAACATTCTCTATCATACATTCAAATAATAAAATATTCTACTCACAAATCAATAAAATTTCTTTAAATTTTAACCCCACATTCTCCAAAAAATAATATTTAAAACTCCATTATTTCTACCATAATGGGAGACAAACATGGGCTTAGGCTTGTCTAAAAATTAAAGATGCATTTTAATTAAAACGGTCTTATCTACGCATTTAATCATCTTGAACAACCAGCATTAATCACTTACCAAACAAGAACCCAGTCGAATTCAAATTAACTTTGACTGGAGTAAAAATTTGAACTTCAACGGAACTCAAAGTGAAACCCACAGAACCGTCTATACTCTCATGAGTTGATAAATCGACCGTTAGAAATCCAGATTTGTTTCTTTACTGCTGCTCCAATAAAGAATTACAAATCCCACCTTCATAAACGGCGCGTGGTTCGAAACTCACTTGTACATCCGTTCATAATTTTGACCAGGGCACAGACCCGAATTAGGTAAATGACATAGCCGATTGTAAAAGGAATTAAATAAATAAGAAAACTATTTAGTCAAATGGTCCGGTATAAATGTTTTAGATGACTTTAATGCATTTTACATAACAAGTTATGAATTAAATAAATAAATAAGACAAACTATTTAATCAAATGGTCGAGTATTAGTATTTTAGATGACTTTATTGCATTTTAAATAACGAGTTATGACCTATAGCAAATCGAATCTTAATGCTTTGGATTGAACGTAAAAGTTTGATCTGATCTAACTAACTTTAATCATTACGTGAACACTCCAAAATTCTCGCGAGTCTATTTATAGCAGTACTTGAAAATTTCCGTAAGTCCTATGTGTATATGAGGAGACTTCTGCCATTTTCTACGATTATTAATTAAATTTGCAAATCACTTGTGCATATAAAGTTATTCCCGTCCATCGCAAGTTCGTTGTAAGATCGTAGTATTTCAAAATCCCTGCAAATTATTTGTGTATATGAGGAGACTTTCGCCCTTTTCTACAACTATTAATTAAATCCGCAAGTCCCTTGTGTATATAAGGAGACTTCTGCCCCTTTCTGCAACTATCTCTACTCTTAATTCGAGTCTCAATGTCTTAGAAAAAACCCTCCGGCTACATGACATAAATCGAGCGCGTGGCAGAGTTCAAATTTAAAATATAAACAATACTGTTTTTTGTCAAAAGCAGACCGTTTCTCGATTTTGGTGACCGTGAATTCTCAGACTCAGTCTCAGAGTCCGACGGTGAAGCCATTTGAGGTCTTTGAGTTATATAGAGAGGTGATACTCTAGTTTCAGGGTGCAACCATGGTCGCCGGAAAAGTAAAAGCTGCAATGGGATTGCAAAGATCGCCGGTGAATCCAAATTCAAAGCCAGACTCATCTCCTAAACCGTCATTGTTATGTACATCAAGTTCAGCAAAGCAGCAGCACCAACCGCAGAAGGGATCAAGCACCAGGTTTTCCCGCTCCTTTGGAGTTTACTTCCCTCGCTCCTCCACTCAGGTCCAGCCCCGTCCGCCGGACGTCACCGAACTCCTCCGTCTTGTCGAAGAGTTGCGTGAACGAGAGTCCCTCTTGAAAACCGAACTCTTGGAGCATAAGCTTCTCAGAGCATCCGCCGCCATTGTCCCCGTTCTTGAAAATGAGATTTCAATCAAGGATTCTGAAATTGAACGCTTCAAGAAAAAGATTCTATGTTTAGAAGCAGAAAATGATGCACTCAGCCAAGAGGTTGAGGTTTTACACAGAGAATTATCGAAACAAAACCAGAGGTACGAGGAAAAAATAAAGGCAATGCAGGTCGAAGTATCTGATATCAAGAAATCCTTTAAAGAGAGACAACAAGAGGAAGAGTCATCATCGTCATATTCTACGCCGAGACTTGCTGATGTTACCAACAATTATAAATCTAGCACTTTAACGAAAACTTTAAGGAAATGTGCCACCCAGAATTCCATTGTAGGGAATTTTGAAAATGGTATTTCTGGTAATGTAAGGTCTGAAATTGAGGAAAAGAAAGAGGATTTAGTAGGAGTGGCGACAATTGAAAAGCCTCGACTCTCTCGGTGTAATTCTGAAGAAATCTTTGGGGGGGTAAAATCCCGTGCTCCACGCGTTCCTAAGCCACCTCCAAAGCCATCGGCATTGCTTTTATCATCGTTTTCGTCATCTACATTATCATCTTCTCTCTCTTCCCCTTCGTATGGTTCTTTATCGGATTCTGCCGAGAGAGCATTGGCTGAAATTTCAAACATTTCGCCTCCACGGCCACCCCCTCTTCCTGCTCCGCAAGTCAAAGTGACTGCTCCACCTCCTCCGCCACCCCCACCTCCTCTTCAGCAAGTAAAAGTGACTCCTTCACCACCTCCACCGCCACCTCCTCCACCGCAAGTAAAAGTAACTGCGCCCCCGCCTCCACCTAGGTCCAACTCCAAGGGAGCGCCACCACCTCCGCCGCCTCCACCGAAAGGGCTGACACCAGTTCCTGCAAAGGTTAGGAAGGTGCCTGAGGTGGTAGAGTTCTACCAGTCATTAATGCGGAGGGATTCGAATTCACGACGTGACTCCGGCTGTGGCACAGCCGATGTTCAGGCGGCAGGAACTACATCCAAAGACATGATCGGGGAGATTGAGAACCGTTCTGCATATTTACTAGCGGTAAGTTCGGAATTACCTCTTATGGACATGGCTACTATGTTTATTTAACCGCTTTTGTCACTCCAATAATGCCTTTCTGTCACTGAAATTGACTTGTCCTAACGTCCTTTGTTGTACATTTGATGCCGTTTTTCTTGGAATTTTGCTGAAGGTCTTACAGGATACGAAGACAGTGGTTAGATTCGAAATCAAAATCGTATCTGATTATCGGTTTTAATTATATTGAATGCAGATTAAGAGTGATATAGAAACACAGGGAGATTTCATTAGATTCTTGATTAAAGAAGTTGCAGGTGCTGCATTCACAGACATTGAGGATGTTATTCCCTTCGTTAAATGGCTGGATGATGAGCTTTCCCACCTGGTACAGTTTTGTATATTGTTTCATTTTCATAAAGGAGTAGACTCGGAAATAGTGCATAGTTCGTTGTTGTTGAATAGTTAACCTAATAAATCTTATGGGACTAGGTTGATGAAAGGGCCGTGTTGAAACACTTTGATTGGCCTGAGAAGAGGGCAGATGCATTAAGAGAAGCCGCATTTGCTTATTGCGACTTTAAGAAGCTCGTGTCTGAAGCCTCGTCATTTCGTGATGATCCTAGACAGCCCTGTGATGTTGCTCTCAAGAAGATGCAGGCATTGTTTGAGAAGTATGAAAATTTCCTAATTTTATTACATATGTTGTCGTTAAATTGATAAACTAATTTGACTTCTGCGTTGTTGGCAACAGGTTGGATCACGGAGTTTATAATTTGTCGAGGATGAGAGAATCAGCTGCAGAACGATATAAAGCATTACATATTCCAATTGATTGGATGCTGGACAAGGGATTTCAAAGTCAGGCAAGTTTTTCATTCTTCTGAAATTCATTTGTGTACAATCATAAGTTGGTTGATATAGCTGAGTTTTTTTACGCCTCTTAAACAAGACTAATAATACAAAAGAAGCTTAAATTCGTGTTTATATTACTGCTGAATCCATTCGACAACTGTGTACCAAACATAATAGGCAAGGTAGAGGGACTTGTAAGCTGTGATTTTATGGATTAGATTCAAATGCTCAATTTTTAGCATAAAGTTAGTTTTCTTGTTTGCATATGATTTTGAAGTAATTAGATTGTGAAGGCAAAATGGCTATGTCCATGTGTGAAAGTGACACTGAATTTGTGCATCTGTGATAAAAATGGACTCATTTTTGATACCCTTGTGAGTTGAAAGTGTACATGCCGTTCTGATTGGGAAATAACCAAATGAACTTTACTGTAATATGAGTACAAAATTTTGCAGATCAAGTTGGCAGCCGTGAAACTGGCAACGAAGCACATGAAGAGAGTCTCTGCAGAGCTCGAAATGGTTGGAGGTGGTCCCGAAGAAGAAGACCTTATTGTCCAAGGTGTTACATTTGCATACCGAGTCCATCAGGTACTACGAACTGAAGAAATTAATGATAGTCCTTTTTTATCCTGTTAAACATGCTATTAGTTAGCTAAATATCATGTTTGCTATCAAGCTTTGATTTGTGTAAGAGTAGTTACTGAAGTTTGCCTTTTGTTTCGATTTGGTCTTTCTGTTAAAATCCATTAATTTTTCTAATTGAATACCCAACATCAAAGCAGAAATATGATGTAGAAAAAGTAACAGATTTTTAATTGAAGGACCAAACTAAAATAAAAAAGCAGTCTTCGGTGACCATTATAAACCTTCATTATAACTTAAGTGACTAGCAGTATTTTTACCCCTTTGGTCGTGCAAGATCTTTGGTCTCTACATGGCTCGATGTGAAAATTTTGCCGAGTTTTCACAGCTTATTTTACTTGCACATGTTTTTACAGTTTGCGAGCGGGTTTGATGCGGAAACAATGAGGGCATTTCAGGAGCTGAGGGACAAAGCCAGATCATGCAATGTACAATGCCAAAATCAGCAGCAACAGAAATTTGTTTGCAGGTCTTCTACAGCTTGCTAAATCTGTAGCAAACTCAGCTTCAGAATTTCACAATAGATATATAATATGATAAATTTGTGAATATCATGGCAGGCATTTAGCCTTCAATTTATATTTTAGGTTTCTTTTTAACTATGGATTCACATTAATTTTTTTAATCTAAATCCCAGAAACTTCCATGGATAAATGAGCAGTTAGATGTTTCCAATTGCTTCGACAATCAATTTGCTTTTGCATTCGAATCTTGAGTAAGCTCTCTTTATTGTTTTCGTCCGGGTACTTGCAATCGTCATAATTGCAAGTAGACGAGACATGAGGAAATGTAGTGTAACAAAGAAGACTACTTGCTGCACGATGTCCCATTTGGTCTTGAGACAATTTTAGTATTTACCTACAAAAGACAAGTGGACTCTGTAATTATTACAGCCCAAAGCAATTATATTTGCTTGAAAGAACGTTAGTTATACACTTCCTGTCTTATTCTCCATTCAACTAATAACCATTTGTTTTCAATACCTCCACGAATGTACAACCAATCTGTAGAAGAAAATCAAAAGCAAATATACATATAAGTAAAAATTCTCTCTTCTTTTGAATCATCACATGACAAGTGCTGCATATAGAAGCTGGTTCCAAGTATCAGGCAATCCAGGAAGGCACCAATGGCTGCAATCAATACCCGAATGCCCACCGCTGTAAGCCGATGGGTGAGCGTCTTTCCTTAATTGGGACAGGGTAGTGATATCTAGAAGATATACTGGTTTCTTGATTCTGCTCAATACTTGGTTAACAACGGAAACTTCTGGGGGTGTCCCTCCTGGATATGTCGACCCTGCTAGTGGTTGTTGTTCACCATAGCAGTTCTTTGATCCCGACCTCCAATCCCTGCCCCTGTTTCAAACAGAATCAACCACTTGCCATCCTAATGTGAATTAAGGTTTCTGTTACAGCTAAAAGCCATCAAAGTAAATAGTTGTGATGGACGAGGAGTTGTCATGAATGCTACTGTTGTAAAACAATGATCCTATGACTTACTGGTAGTGAGTAGGAGAGATTCCCTGGAAGAACACTTTTGTCTTTGTTGGATCAACATTGAGCTCAACCCATCGAGCCCATGTCGTCAAACCTTTGTAAAATGCCACTAAACGGTCCATATCTTTGGATATAGTAGAGCCATCTTGTATATAATCCCATCTGCAAAGACAAGATAAGCAGGACATTCTCTTTTTCCTTTCATTCTACATTATTATTTTCTCCGATTTGCAAGAAGAGAATAACTGAGTTTAGAATTTAGGGTGCGTACGGTTGCGATTTTCCTTTATGAGTCCACCAATGCCATGTATTGAATATGAGCATGTCCATTCCCTTCCATGCATTTCCTTGTTGAATGGAGTCCAGTTTCAGGACTCGCCCGATATTTTCTCTTTGTATATCTACCAAGTACGGCGTACGATAAAGAAGTATGGAAACTCCATAGTCCTGCATACCACAATTGAGTTGATATTTACAATTATTTGCTTAATGCAGCATTGGGTACTAGCATATCAAGCAAATTATGAGTTTCTTCATTGTTCTTCTATTTTTCCAGAATCAAATCAAGAAAAAGATTTGGAAAATTAAATATTGCTCGAATCCAGTCAACAAAAAATAAAAAGTGTATTTATTGAATCGTAAAATCTTATTCATTACATGGTATTGATTACATATTACGTTGGGAAAAGCAAGAGAACGGTACTTTTTATATTTTAATCACTGTTTTATTGGCGCACTCTTTACATAATAACATAGAATTAGAATATAAACCCCATAATGATGTTTCTAGAGGATAATTATTTGAAACTAACTTTTTAATTTAACTTTATTAATATAGAACCTTTTTAATATTTTTAGTAATAAAATTATTTTTTCTTGAGTAAAAAAAAAAATTAAAAACAAGTCGTTTGGAAAGAATTTTAAAATAATTTTATTTATAAATAGATAGAAATAAGTTGTGGATGAGTGGACAATACTTTTGTGTCCACTAAAATGCGTTGTTGAAAATAAAATTTAATCATTCATGAATGATTTATAATTTTTTTCCAAACGTTTATGGTATGAATTCTCGATTCACTTATTAAGCCCTTGTTTGAAAGTGATAATTGAAAATTATTTTCTCTCGCACTCATTTCTAACTATACATTCTCAAAAAAAAAAAAAAAAATTATTCTCACATTTCGCCATAACTCTTTTTTTTTACTTTTTAATAGGGTTGGACAAAACCCTCGAATCGAATCGGACCGGATCAAACCGAATCAAACGGTTCTTTTTAAGTTAAATACCCGAACGAGTATAGAACCGACGGGTTTGGTTCGATTCTAGACTAAGAATCGAAAAATCGAATAAGAACCGAATCTCCCTAATTTTTTTAATTTATTATCTTAATAAGTCAAATTATTTTTTTAAAAAAAATAAATTGCTAACTAATTAATTTAGTCTAAACCCAAAATATGATTACTATTTCTAATTTTCAGTCAAGTCCAACTTAATCAAATTGGCCTAAATTTTATCTAAATCTCTTATTCTACCGTAATGTTACTTATACTGTTCTATTATTGTGAACTAGTCATCTTCCTCTTCCTGTGATTTTAACAATTAAATCTATGAAGAACTCAACAAAAAGATGTGGAAAAGATATCACGAAATTATACTACGTTATTTTGTAAAAATTAAGATTGAATATGTCATAGTCGAATTAATATAACGTTGTTGTAGTATAAAAAAATTAATTATTGTACGAAATTCCGGAACTGAATAAAATCGAACCGAACCAAACCGAATTCGAACAGTTCCATAATTAAATTTAGACCCAACGGTAAAATCACTTTTCATATAATTATTTTGACACAAGCACTAAAATTTCTTTTAAATATGAAAACATTAATCGACGTGCAAGAATTTGAAATACTCGTCTCAATTCTTAACAAAATTGACCTTTAAAGGAAACAATTTCATATTCAATATTTTATTAATATTATATTAATAGTAAGTTGATCAATCTGGAGCTCGAATAAGTATCTAATTTTGAAATTGACATTTTCAAATGAACCATCATTTTGTTTTGTACAAAAGTGTTAAAGGGTTAAAGTCCTACATCTAATAAATATAAAAATAATAATCAAAATGAAAGACTCAGCAATACTTTCATTACCTAGGTGTCAATATTGACCGACTTGGTATGGACACCTTTATGTTAGAGGAGTAAACAAAAACCGCCACCGAAACCATCTTAGAATGGATTGTAGATCTATGTACATGGTACCAAACCAACAATTAAAAAAAAAATCTCTTTGATTTAAAAGTTATTTATGCTTGCAACCTTTCCTAGAATTTATGCTATGATTGGAAGCAACAAAAGGTGGCAAAAATGAAATCCAGCGAAGAAGTGTCTTTAATTCTCATTCTCAGGAGGCAATGAAAAAGAAGGCGGGGAGGGGGGGTGTGCTATTATCCCAACAAAAGAGAGAAATTTCTATATCTTAAACATTAAAATGCAATTTTGCAAATAGAAAAAAAATAATAATAAAATGGTTCCTAACCTGAAACGTTACAGCAGAAAGCGAGTCCTTCTTGACGAAGCTGGTCTTGGAATTTGGTACAGAAGCATGTATCAGACAAGCCAGAGATTCCCACTGATTCAAACTCAGTGAGTCACCGACAAACATAATCTTCTTCCCCCTCCATCTTCTCAGAAACTCCATCCCATCAAATCTGCAAAACAAAAAAACACGTTCAGTTTAGTAGCAGTAGTCGAATAGACAATACTAAAGAAACTAAAATCTGTACCTGGGCAAGTTACAAGAGTCTGGTTTCCATGAATACATAAGATATTGTTTATCAGGGCGGCCATACTTTTGGCAATCAAACTCAGGTTCAAGAAAGGGACAACTTGAAGATTGATATAGAGGATATGAAGAATCAATAACCCATTTGCCTTGAAACAAATTGCACCCACTTAAGAGTTCTCTATCCCTACTAACATTATGCACCAATGGTGTTGTGGCATCTGGCAGTAGCACAGCAGAAGCAAATAACAGAGATTGAAGGAGATAAACTGATAAGGTTTGATACAAAAAGTTCTTCTTCATTATTGGGTTTCAGTACACGAGAGAGGTGAAAGTAATAACAAACAAAAGTAGTGAAGAAAAGCTGTTTACCATTTATATTCTTGGTTCACATGGTTCGTTTGGAGCGTCGGTACAGAGAAATATCGATTTATATATGTCTTACATGAATTGGGAATCTTGGATTTATTTGGCAAGAAGTGTCACCTCATTTGCTTTATTGGAACTAAAAAATTTACTCATGTCATCTGGATTTTTTTTTCATTTGCTTTATTTTGCTCTTAAAATGTTACTGTCCGTTCAATCGATTTCCAACAAATGAAGCCCAACTCATCACATGTATTAATGAGAATATTTTAAACTGGAACTTTGAGACTTAATATGGTATAAGCTCAAATAAGCGATTTTGATTTGTCTAAAGCTCAAATGAACAATCGAATGTCAAGATTGATGTTCTCATATGAATCGCTATTTCGTAGGGTTGGGTAGCTCTCAGTGTCAATTAAATAAAAAAATATTAATCAACATATAAGGATTTTATTATTCTCTCTTAACAATATTGACATTTTAAGGTAGAAATCGAAATCCAAAGTTCTCGTTTGAAAATCAATCTCTCCCCGCACTCATTGTCAACCATACAATTTTTTTTAAAAATTTTCTCATAACTTTTGCCTTATTTTTAACTACACAGTTTCACACATGGGATAAAAATTCAATTAGTCAAAGTTTGATGATTTTCCGTTCAAAATTGGTTAGCAGATTTTAACGTCAATTCTTGCAACTTGCGGTTTCAATGAATTTGGATTAAGAAAAAAATTGAAATGATTAAGGAATGGTTTTTTGTAATGGTCCTTGTCTTCTTGTCCCTAATGATGCCAAAACCACAGCTCACATTTGAAAATTTCATGTGATAGTGGTCGTCTGCTGGGAGGTTGATCTAACATTCTGGACTGGGTCCCACGTCTATAATTTCATCAATCCCATTATTTATATATACTTCCACTTTATTAAGGTTTAATTAGAAAAAATAGTCAAAATTACCAAAAAAGAACAATGTTTTGATGCTCTTTGCCCTTTTGGCAATCTAAACCATCAGCTTTTAAATGTACATTAATATCAGCAAATATACTTAAATTCAGCTTTTATTTTTTATTTTTCAAAAAGAAACTCATACTTTACTTTTTTTTAAGCAATAGTTTACTTATTTTTTTTATTTTGGCTAATAAATACTTTATTTATTTATTTATTTCAAAGCTTGCTTATTCACTTAGGTCATACTTATAATTATTAAGCGGGCCTACTTTTTGCTACCCAAAAGCTCTTATTTTGCCCGTGAACTCCATGAGAAAATCGTATAGAAGATGTGAATAAATTTTCCTTTGTTCAATAACTTCAACTTTTGGTTGATTAAGAAACTCGTACTTATTTTTCGAAATTATCTCAAACTTTACCGTAAAAAACAATAACTTACTTACTTTTAATTATGATTAAGCAAACTTTTTAAGCTTAGCCGATTGTACTCGCACTTATTTTGCAAATAAAACAAAAAAATACGGTTAAACATGTGATGAAAAGTTGATTTGACCTACATGTAAAAGGGGTGTCTAAATGAAGTAATATATAGTTAAATTCTTGTCCATTTTTCACTTTTTTTAATGGAGATGATATTTTTAAAATGTAATAATTGGTGATTAATGTAGTAAAATAATGCCTTCTGTACAGAAAAATGGTTCACAGGGGTCTTACAGGCCCCTCACAGCAGGCGGGCCCCACCTGTGAAAGCAAGCAAGATTCAATGTAGTATGTAATGAAATCATGTGAATTGGTGGACAATAGGGAGTCAACCCATGCAGGTCGTTAGAGTTGGGAATTCTAAAGCAGGCTAGTGAATCAATGAATCTTTTTGGATCAAACAAGTCATATTCAAAATTTGGATAACAATTTGACAGTGGAGACCCACTACAAATTGCTATATCAAGTGATTATTGATTTTAAGAATAATAGTCAAGTATTGAAAATGATTGCTACAAGCTATAAAATCGGCTTTAAAAAGATCCTTAATTTGCCTTTTAGTTATTTCAGTACTGCCTATTGTGTTTTTCAGGATGAAAGTTATCTTCGTGCAAGAACCTATAATTGATTTTGTTATGACTATTAGAAATACGTATTTTTTTAGCTGAAAAAAAGAAGAATCCAGATTAATCTCAAACAGTAATTGATATAGTCGGATTAATATAACCTGAGGTTTTCCTTTAAAAGATAAAAAATTAACCTAGTTCATCCAACAGAAGGGGAGTTTTGGGTCTAAATATGATGCAAAACATCGTAGTCCATAAAAGGAAAAATGCAAGTAAAAAAGTGTAACAACTGCACCAGCCGGGAATCGAACCCGGGTCTGTACCGTGGCAGGGTACTATTCTACCACTAGACCACTGGTGCTTTGATACGAAAGCGGTAATCCATTTAAAAAATGATAACAGCTTCAATTCCTTCTAAAAACTAATACAAGAGGTCTGATCCTAAGTCGAGAACCTCTTTTTTATTGGTCTATGTTCTCTATCGACTAAAGCCAAACGCTCAATAGAAGTCAAGAGACTCCTACTTGTACGCATAAAGACTGTGTGATATGTAGTCCAATACTTATGGGCCAAACATGCTATAAAAGTCCATATTAAACCTTTATTTTTTATTTCAAATTTTATTCCAGTGTCACAAGTATGAACCGATTACACAAATATGTACACAAATACCAGTCCTTTTAGCCAATAGAATACATTAAAATAGCACCTGAAACGTTCATCCCACGTTTCGGCTTACATGAAACTTGGAGCTGCAAAATTCCATTCAAAATTTCCCCTTTTTTTCCTGAATTTGAATTGACATATCCAATTTCCATGCAGCCCAACAAGATGCAGCAGTATTTCACCACTTCAAACCGACTTAAAGACATAAAAATCACTATGGCTAGTCGAGATAGCTAACCCTTCGCCTCTTGTGTGGAAGCATGAGTTGAGATAATTCTTCTGACGCAGACGACTGATCCACTACACAACTCAAAGCCCCGTGAATAGAACTCGCTGTAAGCTCCCGAGCTTCAGCACTGTTATTCATGTTGTCTCTTCTGCCAGTCAATAAGAACACAATCTTCACCCGACCTTCCAGAGTAGAGATCTCGACATTTGCCAAATCTACAGGAAGCACATTGAGACACTGCCTTGTATCAGACAGGAGATCCGGCCTGTAATGACAACAAATAGAAGCCCTAAAGGAGAAAGATCCATCTACTGCATCCTCATCAAGTTCTTCAACTTTAACTTCATCTGAATCTGTTGGAATGTGTAGATCTTCACTGGCTTGTTTTGCGGTTTTCTTCAATTGTTTCACTTGGCTGATAACTTCCGCAAGTAATGTAGCTTTGTCCATCTATCGATAAACAGGTGAAAAAAAGAGTGAAGCTTAAACATTAGTTCTTGACATGACATGCAACAGTGGCAAATCTAATTCGAAAGCAAAACATTAACTTTTAAAATCTTCCGCATGCACATTTTTCATAACCAACTGTTGGTTAGACTTGAACTGACAACTCTCATAGCATGTTTAACCACCTCATCTAAAAGCTTAAGTTATTAAAAGAGGACACGTTTATTCTTCAACATTCAGAAGTGATATAAAATCTTCTTATATCTGAATTGACATTAATATGCCAACTCATAGACTGACTTGCACGAATTCAAAAGTTGAGTTAGACAAATACAAAGACCAATGAGCAACAACTCCATTTTATGTAAATTTAATTGTCAAAGTAATAACCCTTATGCCTCGTTCAATTCAAAAAGTTTGCAACACAATTTTGTTCAATCAAGTCAAATGTCAATATTGTGTGACAATGAAAGTGATATGATAGCAAATTACTCTATAAATTACATGTTCGAAATCTATTTATACTCCATATCTAAATGTCTCTTTTAATAGGTAACCGCAAACCACAAAAATATATTAAATTAAGTAAAGTATGACTTGAACTCTAGTCATATTGCAATAATATATAAGAATACTCAAATTATTATAATTTAAAAGGGGGTCCATGGGGAAAAATTGGAAATAATCATAGCACATCGGCTGGTAGGTAGCCTACTATCCAATCAAAATCTTCTATATGCAGACACCTGACAGCTTTGGCCTTAGATTAAGAAATATTAATCAACCATTTTAGAAGAAGAAAATGATTTAATGCTATTATATGTTTAAGTCGGCAAACAACCCCGAGTTGCTCAAATCAAACAATAGTATAGCACATTGACATTTAATGTTACATCCTCAGCCGAAAACATCAATCTCAACCATTAATTTAAAAACATCAAGCTCGAACATTACATCATCGGCCAAAAACATAAACATACTGCACCAAACCTATCATTTATTAGTAGTGTAAAATTTCAAAGCACCAATAAGAAGGCATATTCTAGAACATCAACCTCAATGGCTACGCCCTCTGACGGAAAATGAACATACTGACTGCAACAAATTCGCTATTTATCAGTGGACACACATAGCAAGTTCCGTTAAAGCATAATCAGCCAGCGAAAATATTAGGTTTTACTGTTAGGTAGACATCATTTAATAATTTTACTGTTTCGTCAATATAACCATTATTTTGAATGCAACGACGTGGCTACCAATTAAAATTGCATTCTTAAAGTCTTGCATTGACTTTCGGGATTCCTGCACCGTGACCATAAGTAATTTCAATTTTCTTTTCCCATATTTTGTATGTGGAAGTTACTTCTTTAACCAAAAGGTTCATATATTAAGCGTGAATCTGATGTATAAATAGTACACAAATATAGAGAATTGGAATTATCTACAATGAAAAGAAAAATTAACTCAAAGTGGAATTCATGTGAAATACAAAAAACAATAGAGATAGAGATGATAATCGAGCAGAAGAAATTTTCAGCTAACACGGTGATTTCTGAAGCAAATGGTCAATAAATAGAAAATGCACCAAATGATCAATGAAAAGAAATGGACAAAAGTCATTAAGAAACAAATCCAACAAAAAATCTTATGGATCACCAATGTTTCTGACTTGCATGAAAATGTATCGCTAGAGATAGTTCATATCTCAGGCACAAGTATGAATCTCCTTAATAATTTAACACTTTCAGTGAAACGTATAAAAAGAGATTTAGTGTATCAGTCACCAGAAGTATGAATCCCAATAGCTGTGACAATCATTCAGACAATGCAGAGAACTTCACTCATGTCACTAATTCATGCAAGACTATAAACAAAAGAAGAGTAGCGCAGGAATATACATCGTGTACCACCAAATTTCAATGTTAGTTAGTGATAAATATAGACATGAACATCAAATATTATGGTAATTCAAGATCATAACCAGCAAAAAATATCACTAACCTTTTCTTCCCCAGGTACAAGACCTCGAAGCGTCACCAAATGAGCATTAATCCTCTCTCTCCTCCTCCTCTCAGCCTCGCTATGGCTCTTCAAAGCGGCAACTGTTTTCGCCTCTGAAACACCCCTCTTCTTCCCTGTTTTGCCTAAAGTTTTCACTAGCTCTCCCTTCTCACAGTCCAATACTAATGATTGCCCAACTGACATAGCCCCACTTCCCCAATTCCCTGCAAGTCCCTCACAATCTGATTTAAGGTTTAAGCTACTTGGGTCCCTATAATACATACTCACGCTCTCAATCCCACCACATTCATAACATATAAAATTTATATGTGTGCATATATATGAATAACCACGTATATAAAGCTAACACAATCAGAATGAATTGATTTGCAAAATAAGTTGTGTTCCCAATTTAACAAATTTAAGCTGTAAGAAAATGATCACAAGGTAATATTATAAGCATATGTATTAAAATCAAGTGCTTATCAAGTGTTTGAAATTAACAAGAAAAATAAAATCTTGATTATCCCCGCATGAATAAATTGCACATTCTTTTACATATAGCTAAAAAATATTGGATAAAAGCAAAAAAACAGTGAAACTTCTACGGGTCAAGGCCAGGAGGGCGGGTGGTAGGTGCGAACCAAAACGACAGCATTTTAGAGCGGAGCTTGAGAGTGGCAACAGACGAAACGGCGGCGTTGGTGGTGGTTAATGGAAGAGACATTATTTTTATTAGAAGAAAAGTAATAAAAGACAACAAATTGGGATTCTGCCGGGTTATGGGGAAAAGAAATCAATGAGAATAAATCCACATCTTTTTCTTCTTAAAGGTCTTTAATTCCTGCATCTCGATGAGCTTTTTGGGTTGAATCTTTGACAATTTGATGCGAGAATCAAAAGGAAAACCCAGAAAACTTGTATCTTTCTGTGTGGTGGTGTACAGAAAATTACAAAAGCCAAACCCACGCAATTAATTTATAAGGCAGACAATAATCTAACCTGCCATGGGAAGTGACGAACTCAGCTTAAAAAATTAGCGAAAAACAAAACAAAGAAAGGAAAATAAAAAAAAGAACTTGTCAGTTCTTGACTTTTGTATACTCATCAATAATATTAGTGGTAATCAAAGGAAGGTTGAACCCGTCTGTTAATTTAGAATTTGAAGTTAGGGATGCAAATTAGTTGAGCTGACATTTTTTATCCAATAACTTAATAGTTGACAACTAATTAATATTTGGGTTAATTTCATTTTTATCAATAAAGAAATTTTCTTTGGGTTTGTCAACCCTTTTTTTTTTTGGAATCAGGTTAATAAATTTTAATCACACTCTATTAGTGTCTGTTAATTGACAATCATTTTGATAGGGAAAAAAAGTTTTTAACAGTAATTTTTAGGAGAATGTGTAATTTAAAAGTAGAGAAAAAAATTTCGTATATGTTTAGAATATTTTATTATATAAATGTGTGGTTGAAAATAATCATGTATCAATCCATAAAATAAATTATGTCGCCTAATAAAGTCGTGGCTACAAAAATTGAAAACATTTATGGATAAAATTACTTGTATAATCTGTGTTGACAATACATATATTGTCAAGATTCATACTGTTAATTAAAAAACAATTTTAAAAATTGCTGGTATAGATTCCTGCCAACTCATAGTTGTCAACAAAATTTTAAACCATGATTGTACATGTAGCATGGTTCAATATTTCTTACTCGAATATTTTCCCAATAATAGGGGCAACAAATTCTATACGAGTTCAATGACTAGATACGAAATTAGTCGTTAATTGTTATTAATCTTATTATTTTTGAAAAAAATAAGTTGGCCCTAGATCAAGAATGTTTTGCTCGACATTTTTAGTGAGAATGAGAATCGACTCACATTGAATTGTGCAGTATAATATATTTCATTTTGCATCTCTACATTAGAAGCATATTCTTTTTTTCATTTCTTTTGAGTCCTTTAATGCTAGTAACTTTTCTTAAAATGTGGTCATACTAGTTCTTTTTCTTTTTCTTTTTTTCAAATTAATATAATTGAATTGTTCTACTACGATTAATTAATTGGGAGATAACTTTTACAATTTAAACCCATTTGATAATCGTGCATTACTACTACAAGTCTTTCAGTATTAAACTAAGCTCCTATTTGACAATCATTATTTTTAAATTATTTTTATTTTACACATTCATTTTTAACCATATGTTCACACGATAAAATATCGTGTACGTAAATCTCAATTTTTTCTACTTTTTAACCATACATTTTCTAAAAGTTTACCATTCAAAACCTTATATTTGTCAAATAATGACATCAAACATGGGCTAAATACTTGTGTTGAAGTTGGCTAAACGTTTGTCAAGCAAAAAAAAAGAGTTCTGGAGATAAGTTGACTTCTCTGTTATTAATTATCAGTTATATTATTTTTCAAACACTCCTTTCAATTTATTACTTGTTCAAGTGCTTATAAGTAGGCCCAACGATTTATTTAAGGTAGTCGGTGTTTTTTTCAACTTAATGTAATATTCACAATTATTTTGTATTCTTAATATATAGTTCTTTGGTTTTTCTTTAGACATTTTCTCTCTTATTAATCTTCTAATATCATTGATTTAAGATGCTTAGTGCATTTTCAATATTAGTGTAAAACAGAGATTTGGCCTTGTTTGACGCACATCCTTTTAAAACTCATTTTAAAACTCATTTTCAACAACACATTTTTCAATAAAATAATATTTTTCATCACATCAATAACTTATTCTTATTTTTTAACCACATATTTTCATCATATTACTATTTAAATTACATTCTTTTATCAATAATATCCATCAAATACACCCTTAGATCTCTAAAGTAGTTGGAAACCTCTCATATGGCGATATGCAAATTGTATTTTTCGACAAAATATAAAAAAAAATGTAAATTTACATCTTTTTTTTTTTTACATTCACGAGAGGTAAAAGGTGAATTTAGATCTATTGATATGTAATTGAGGATGCATAAAAGGGAAATTTACACGACTACTCCACTATAACAATTACATTTTAAACCTAACAACCTTATCAAAATATTTCAAAATTCAGTTAACTCAAATTTTTAATATTAATAAATAATATTATAACCACACCTTCGAACCCTAAACAATTTCCCCCTCCTTTTTCACTCACACTCTCTTCCCTTCTCCCTCTATTGCAACACATCTCCCTTCTCACTCTATCACAACCATCGAAAAGGAGGAGCACATCTACGGTGATAACGTGCAGCTCCGCAGTGGCGCTGCATGGTTATACTGATGCGCGAGACGAGGAGGACCTTTAAGACTGGGAAGTGGCACCATCGATGTTGGCGGAGTCAGTATTGATTTTCGATTTGGATAGTATTTTGGGCAATTTGGATGGACCTTTTTTTGATGGATCTGATGTGGGAAGAAGGTTTTCGGAGATTTTTAGTAGTTAGATAAAACACTCGATTAGTTGATGTTGGTCTCCGAATCGAAGCTTCACAACACAAACAAGTAATAATGAAAGATAATTGCAGAATCGAAAAGAACACAGAGAATTTTTGCCCCTTTTTGGGCTCGGATGTTCAACTTAAAGCCTACTCATCCGTTGAGCATCTACTACGTAGATATTGCTCGAATCCATTAAGAATCATAAAGAATAGCACAACAAATGTATTTTGATTTCTTCACTAAGTTTCCTCTAGCTTATTATATACAAGTTTTCACTCCACAACACTAATGTATACACAATACACTCAAGAATATCACTAAGATATTAATGGTTTAAAAGTTTTAGATTTGTGTGTATTATTATTTTATTTGATGAATGAATGGTTGAGATGAAGAGGGAAAAAAAATTAATGTAATGGAATGAAATTTGATGGGAGGCAAACAAGGGCTTAAACCCATTTGTTAATCGTGCATTACTACTACAAGTCTTTCAGTATTAAACTAAGCTCCTATTTGACAATCATTATTTTTAATTTTTTTTATTTTACACATTCATTTTTAACCATATGTTCACACGATAAAATATCGTGTACGTAAATCTCAATTTTTTCTACTTTTTAACTATATATTCTCTAAAAATTCACTATTCAAAACCTTATATTTGTCAAATAATGACATCAAACATGGGCTAAATACTTGTGTTGAAGTCGGCTAAACGTTTGTCAAACAAAAAATGAGTTTTGGAGATAAGTTGACTTATCTGTTATTAATTATCAGTTATATTATTTTTCAAACACTTCTTTCAATTTATTACTTGTTCAAGTGCTTATAAGTAGGCCCAACGATTTATTTAAGGTAGTCGGTGTTTTTTTCAACTTAATGCAATATTCACAATTATTTTGTATTCTTGATATATAGTTCTTTGGGTTTTCTTTAGACATTTTCTCTCTTATTAATCTTCTAATATTATTGATTTAAGATGCTTAGTGCATTTTCAATATTAGTGTAAAACAGAGATTTGGCATTGTTTGACGCACATTCTTTCAAAACTCATTTTCAACTACACATTTTTTAATAAAATAATATTTTTCATCACATCAATAACTTATTCTTATTTTTTAACCACATATTTTCCATCATATCACTATTTAAATTACATTCTTTTATCAATAATATCCATCAAATACACCCTTAGATCTCTAAGTAGTTGGAAACCTCTCATATGGCGATAGGCAAATTGTATTTTTCGACAAAATATAAAAAAAAATGTAAATTTACACCTTTTTTTTTTTTACATTCACGAGAGGTAAAAGGTGAATTTAGATCTATTGATACGTAATTGAGGATGCAAAAAAGGGAAAATTACACAACTACTCCACTATAACAATTACATTTTAAACCTAACAACCTTATCAAATATTTCAAAATTCAGTTAACTCAAATTTTTAATATTAATAAATAATATTATAACCACACATTCGAACCCTAAACAATTTCCCCCTCCTTTTTCACTCACACTCTCTTCCTTTCTCCCTCTATTGCAACACATCTCCCTTCTCACTCTATCACAACCATTGGAAAGGAGAAGCACATCTACGGTGATAACGTGCAGCTCCGCAATGGTGTTGCAGGGTTATACTGCTGCGCACGACGAGGAGGACCTTTAAGACTGGGAAGTGGCACCATCGATGTTGGCGGTGTCAGTATTGATTTTCGATTTGGATAATGTTTTGGGCAATTCGGGTGGACCTTTTTTTGATGGATCTGATGTGGGAAGAAGGTTTTCGGAGATTTTTAGTAGTTACGTAAAACACTCGATTAGTTGATGTTGGTCTCAGAATCGAAGCTTCACAACACAAACAAGTAATAATGAAAGATAATTGCAGAATCGAAAAGAACACAGAGAATTTTTGCCCCTTTTTGGGCCTGAATGTTCAGCTTAAAGCCTACTCCTCCGTTGAACATCTACTACGTCGATATTGCTCGAATCCATTAAGAATCATAAAGAATAGTACAACGAATGTATTTTGATTTCTTCACTAAGTTTCCTCTAGCTTATCATATACAAGTTTTCACTCCACAACACTAATGTATACACAATATACTCAAGAATATCACTAAGATATTAAAGAATAGTACAACGAATGTATGAAGAAATCTTTGATTTCTTCACTAAGTTTCCTCTAGCCTCTCATATACAAGTTTCCACTCCACAACACTAATGTATACACGATACACTCAAGAATATCACTAAGATATTACAGATATCACAACCAAAGGATCTCAAAAACAAAACCATAGAGAAAACGCTCGAGAGAGAAGAACATAAGAGAAAACCCTATAATGTGAAGTATCGTCCAAATGAAGAATCCAGAATAGGGTTATAAGGTAACCCTTCAAATCACTTAATCCCATGGTCCAAGATGTGCCAAGTGTAAAGTCAAGATTACACCATTATTTAAACAGCAAACCGGTGGCCTAATCCAACACAGCAAAAGATGCCCAACACCAAAAATAGAAAGAGGCCCAAAGACCAAAATAGAGAAGCAGCCCAACTCAACAATCTACACTTTGCCAAACTATTATGAGTATTCTTTTGTGGATTCAAACTCAATTTACTATTTTCATTTGCTCTATCATACCTGGAAAAGAAAAACAATCAGATTTGCATAAAAACAAAAATAAGGTAACTATAGGATTTAACATAGTTCATTACCTTCAAAACAGATTCAACATCTTTAAATAGTTTCTGAATTTATTTAAAGGTAACACCTTAGTGCCAAAATGAGCAGGATTGAATTCAGTTGGAATCTTAATTAAACTAATCAAACCTTTTTCAAACATATTTCTAACAAAATGAAATTTGATGTCAACATGTTTGGTCCTATAATGAAAAACAAGATTTCTACTTAAGTGAATAGCACTTTGATTATCAATATATATCCTAACCACTTCATTTACAAAACAAAATTCATTTAAAAGACCTCTCAACCACAGTCCTTTAACAGCATCACAAGCTGCTATATAGAGACGTTATGTTCTAATTACCCATTTATTTACTTACTTACATAAAATTTATTTTTTTGAGAAAGTAATATTGTGAAAATAATTTTTTAGATAATGTGTGATTAAAATGTAAAAAAAAAAATGAATAGATGTAAAAATTAGTTTTATTTGAAAACGATTAAAAATGAGAGCGACAAAAATTAATAGCTAACATGCTATAAGGTCAGCAGAATGGGATCAATGGTTCAATTTCCCCTATTTTATACCGTCATCAACTTCTCACTGCACAACTGAGATCGTACAACACATTCAAGCATCAATTTGCTCTGGTATTCACACTCTGAGCCAGTATAGCATAGGACAATGTGTGAAAAATCGGTGAACTCTCAACTAGAAAACCACATAAATAAATAATTGCCTTAGAAATAAAAAACCCTAGTTCTTGCAGTCCAGATCAAACCAGACCCTCGATAAAGTGAAAGAGAGAAATGGCATTGGCAAATGAGCGTGTGAACTTCGCATACATCGCCAAGCTTGCAGAGCAAGCCGAACGCTATGATGGTTTTGCCTCTTTTTTACTCTGTTTTTTCCGTTTCTAGATCCGGCATTTCAGTTTTATTTTTCTCTTGTAATGGTAAAACTTGAGTTAATTTTTCAGATTTTTTCTCTCAATCATAATGTATCCATTGAATTGTTGATATTCGAAGGTGGTTAAATTCATTTCTTAACATCTCGTGAAAGGCATTTTATATTTATGTTTGTTTATTCTTTTTCTTGCTCGAGGAAGAGCAGTGGATGCTCTGCTTCATTTTGTGGAAGTCGAGTTAATATTATTGCTTTGGCGCTATTATTTTTGAACATTCATCCAAATTTGGCCTGCTAAACCAAACCTGTTTCGTTTATACATTTGAGGAAATGGTGGTTCGCTAATCAAAAGCATGCTTTTTGATGGTCACATTACTGAAGAAATAATGGGATAATTGATTTAAATAAGTTGTTTTTTTTTTTTTTAATTCAGTCCTCTAACTGTTATTTGTCTTTCTGAACATGTGATCTAAACTCCGAATAAAAGCAGATTTTTTTTTTTTTTTTGCCTATTAGTTTTTATTCATTTGTAGAAAACTAGAAATGGTCGATGCCATGAAGAAGGTAGCAAAGCTTAATGTTGAATTGACAGTTGAGGAACGGAATTTGCTGTCAGTTGGGTATAAGAATGTGATTGGAGCTCGAAGGGCTTCTTGGAGGATTTTATCATCAATTGAACAAAAGGAAGATGCAAAAGGCAACGAACAAAATGTAAAGAGAATTGATAAAATCAAGGAAGGGAAACAAAATTGAAGCTGATCTACTGCAGGGAATAAACTGAAATTAAAAGATAAGCGTTCAACATGAAAATCACATTGAAAGAACTTGAGAAAGGGGGATTTTATTATTCATCAAGCTCAATTAACATTGTGAATACATTGCTCTATTTATAGAGTGAAATATCTAACAAACTATCTAACAAACTTAACAACATAACAACTAGTAGAGGTGAATGCGGTTCGATTTGGGCGGTTTCTGCAATATTTTCAACTCAGACCATTTCATGCGGTTTGAAATTTTTTCAAACCAAACCAAACCATTTTATTTTTCGAACCAAACCAAACCAAACCATAATNAATGAGTTGGTTGTAATTTGTATTGGTAAATTGGTATTTTTTCTAAAAAGTAAAAACTTTAAAATTTGTAAGTTAATAAAATTAATTTTTAATTAAAAAATTAAAAACGGTTCGGTTCGGTTTTATGCGGATTTTGAAAATTGAAACAGTTTGGTTCGGTTTGAAGGAAAAAAACCGCGGGTCCACGTGGACCCGAACCAACGGTTTCAAACTAACGGTTTCGATTCGGTTTGCGGTTTCACGGTTTTTTTGTGCAGCACTAACTAGAAGAAGGAACCAGAAGGATCTGGAATTGGTGCCGTATTCAGCTGAGGTGAGCTGCTGATTTGCTGGGCATGCTGGACGTGTGAGGAGCTGAGGGCATATTGTAACAAGAATAAAAGAGTATAGGCAAAAGGTTGAAACAGAGTTATCTAATATTTGTACCGACGTCATGGCTGTAATTGATGAGCATTTGATTCCTTCCTCATCTGGCAGTGAATCCACTGTGTTTTTCTACAAAATGTGAGTTCTCTTTGCAGAGTTAGAACTTCATATGCTTGGTGCTCTTGAGTTGTCTATGTAAGTTTGTTTTTTGTTTGAGTTTTTGCATTTGTACTTTTGACATTGTTGTAGGAAGGGGGATTACTACCGGTATTTGGCAGAATTTAAGAGTGGCAGTGACAGAAAGGAGGCTGCTGAAGAATCTTTGAAAGCATATCAGGTGTAAAGGATTTCAATTTCATCATAGGAATTATTGTGCACTTGTTAATTGTCAATTATGTGTAATGTCGATAGACACTCATACCATATTATTCTAGTTAGTTTATACTGATGCAATCTGTAGCAATTAATTTGTTTTATTTTTTATTTTTAAATGAAATTTGGGCTAGTGAAACATGCTTTTTTTCTTCCAAATGTATATAAATTTTGCATTGAGGTTCTTCATTGATATTCCCTCCCTCTTAAGCATACGTGGCAAGTGTTTATAAAACATACTTGTTCGTCATTGGTTTTTAAATAAATATTTGTATTTAAAGCTAGTGTTCTGGTTGATGAGAAATGGATTAGGAAATGTGAGAATATTTTATCTAAGAGTCTATATAAATGACTATCATATGTTACATGAGATTGATACCTTGCTGGGGAAGGGGTCATCTTGACACGATAGATTGTTGATGCTGGAGAAGAATTTAATCTTCACGACTTTTTGTAGCTTTGCAACTTTTCATTGCAGGCTGCCACTATGTCAGCTGAGTCTGATTTACTACCTGCACATCCCATCTGTTTGGGTTTGGCGTTGAACTTCTCTGTTTTCTATTATGAAATCATGAACTCTCCAGAAAGGTACACAAGATTTTATGGCTATCTCAATTGTGTTGAGAAATCCTTGAGCTTTTTTTGGAAATCCATATGAAGTTACTTTACATATTGCTTTGTATTACAGGGCTTGCCGCCTTGCTAAGCAAGCATTTGATGAAGCTATCTCTGAGTTGGATACACTGAGTGAAGAATCTTAGAAGGATAGTACATTAATTATGCAGCTTCTCAGGTACAATCTTACCCTTTGGACTTCTGACATCCCGGAGGAGGGAGGCAATTTCTCTTCTTATTGCTAAATTACGCTCCCAGATTTTTCATCTTGAAATACTTTTTATTGCCTAGTTTTGTCCCACTTGTTTGGTTAAATCAATGAGGAATTATATCATAAGATGATTTTTGCTGATTGCTTTTATTGTTATTAGCTTTATTTATTTGTTTTCCCTTTTTACCAGAAGGCCAAAAGGTAGATAGCTCTGTAAAAGCAGGAGGTGAAGATGCAGAGGTTGGGTTACATGCTATTCGTAATTTGCAACTTCGTCTGTGATGTCCTCAACTTCTTTGCTACTTCCATTATTAAGTTATTTCCATTATTGTTCTTGCAGTAATCAAGAATTACAGCAGTCAGGATAAGCAGTAGCTAATTTATTTTTCAACGTTGGAAGTTGCCTCCTGAATTCTAGGTCACTCTTTCCTAGTTTAAAGTCCTGTCCAGAATTCTGTTGTTTATTCTTGTTACGTACTTGTCATTGTTGTGATAGTATTTATTTTACTTGAACGTCTACCATCCAATGCCAAAACTGTCTTTATTTGATGCAGTTATGATGCTTTTACATTTGCATCTAGCTACATTGTATCTTCAGATCTAGAAATGAACTGAATAGAGCAGAGTGATGTAAAAGGATTCATATAGTCCACTCTAAATTCATTGAGAACAAGGTTTAAGTTGTTGTTGTTGAGATATTTGCACTTTTCTAATGCTTTGTCCAAGTATTAATACAAAAGCTTGTGCAACTTCTCTTCTCTATGTTGATGTCCTAACTCTTTCAAAAAATGACGAACTTTTCTTTTGACAGAATACGTCTAACCCTTGTTTGACTACTCTTCATAAATTGTTTATTATCGGTCAAATCACTTTATTCATTGTGGGATCCACAAGTACTTATTACTTATGTATCACTTATTTCTATCTATTTATAATTTAAAGCTTTTGTAAACACTTTCCAAACAAACGGTCACATTTTTCTTTTACCCTTTTAAAGAAACTCTCTCTCTCTCTCTCTCTCTTTCCTTTTTCTCGCTTTTAAAATATTTTACCTTTTTTTTTTCTAATTTTTGATTTAGATGACAAAATTGTTTAGATTGAAGAAAGCTCTATGTTTTATTTATTTATTTTTAAATAAAGTAAATTTAGCTAAAGGGAAAATAATAATTGAGGTCCCCAACTTGTAGTCCGTGTTATATTTTGCTGTCAACTTTTAAAACGCAGCATTTCAGTATCCGACCTTTTACCTTTTTTACACCTGTGGACTCACAGAATGAATTAATGAAACATCTAAGCGTCATTTCAATTGCATGTAATGTAGCATGACGGTGAAAGAAAATAATAAGTAAAAAATGACGGTGAAAGAAAAATGAAAAAAAAAAAAAAGAGAGAGAGCATGCCAGTGGCAGTAAACAATACTAATAAAAAATAAAGAAAGAAGAAGAAGAAAAAATGATACTCAACAGATGTTGGCTTGGGAAAGATGTGCTTTATTCTGCTGTAGTTTTTATAATATCATACCTGTAATATTCTACAGCACTCTCTTAGAATGCGATTCTTGTTCGAGAAATCTGTTGATGCTATTGGATCAGATCCCATCCCATATTTAGGATTCTTTAACCATATATCAATAACTTGCACTTCTCTAATGAAGTGCGACTAAATAGTGAGTTAGTGTTATCGACGAACAAAAAAGAAGATTAATTACGTACTAATTAAGCTACTTTTGAAACAGCATAAAGCATTATTCTCATTTCTGCCCCAATCATTTCCATGTAATTACAATTGTTTGGTTTGTCTCTGTTGAAGCAACCAATGAATACTTCAAGTCTATTTCCTTCCTAGTTTTTTTCAGGTAGATGACAGGCGATGCCCGCTCTTAGTTGTTGTGTTTGAATAAAGTGCCAGCTATAATGTGGCTTCATTTTCACATTATTACAGCTATTCATGGATACTGATACATATTTCTCCCTATTCCAGGATTTGATTAATTTCTATATTAATTGATTATTTTTGCTAGTAATTTATCGAATATTTATATTAACCAGGACAGCTTTTATGTACAGCGAGAAGCTAGGCAACTGGCAAATTTTTTCATTTCAAGTTTACATCTACAAGACAAAATAGGATATGCATGATCATCAATATGTTTGACTACGTGAGGTGGTCCTTCTCCTCTTTGCCGGAAAAAGATGCTGGAAACCGCCATGTTCCTCCATGTCCCACTCCACCACCGTATCGAACTCAAACTGTTGCACTCCAGAAGCATCAAACAAATAACCGTCCGAAAACCCAGCCAGTCCCCGGCATGGAGGCTTTATCTTCCGCCTCCCGGCACCCACAGGCACGTTACGGAGAGCCCCACCGGCTGTCCAGTACCTTTGGCAGCCCTTGCAAAAGTGTCTTGGCTGATTGACATTGTAGTTGTTGAAGTAGCAAAACTTAGTTTCCATGCTTTTGCATCTTGGGCATGGTATGATCTTGTCTGGCCTTTTTTCTACCGTTTGATCAGCCTTTTTTGGCTCATGATCATCCTTTGCTTCTCTATCTTGCACTGCGATTGTTTTCCCAAATAATTTGATCCCTGACAAATTCTTACTGTCTTCTTGGATATCAGCCATGAGATAGATAGAAAGTTAATAATAGAGAGAGAACCTTGGGGTTTGATTGAGAAGTCTAGGAGGTTGATACTTATATATAATCTCTCTCTCTCTCTCTCTCGTGTGTGTGTGTTTTGAATCTGGTGTTTGCTGTTATTGCGTTTACAGTCTACACGCTGGATGCTATACACTGAACAAGCACCTTCTGCTTGGTTGAACTTCGCTTTATGTGGTTTGGTTGGGATTATGACGGCATATATTTTTGTCTGGATTACAAAGTATTACACTGACTACAAGCATGAGCCTGTACGCACATTAGCTCTTTCTAGCTCAACTGGGCATGGAACTAATATTATTGCTGGAGTTAGTTTGGGTCTGGAATCAACAGCCCTTCCTGTCCTTGTGATAAGCATAGCAATTGTTTCGGCTTACTGGTTGGGTCACACTTCTGGGTTGGTGGATGAATCTGGAAGCCCAACTGGTGGGTTGTTTGGGACAGCCGTCGCAACTATGGGAATGCTCAGTACAGCAGCATATGTACTCACAATGGACATGTTTGGTCCAATAGCTGATAATGCAGGTGGAATAGTTGAAATGAGTCGGCAGGTAATTTTTCAGGGTGTTGGCTTTGGCCAACACAATACTGACGCCTTTAGCAATTATGTTTTTATTGTGAGTGAAACTTCTGACATTCCTTTTATTACTTACACAGCCTGAAAGCGTTCGAGAGATCACCGATGTTCTCGATGCTGTTGGAAATACTACAAAAGCTACCACCAAGGGGTTTGCCATTGGATCTGCAGCCCTTGCATCTTTTCTTCTATTTAGTGCTTATATGGATGAAGTAGCTACTTTTGCAAATGTACCCTTTAATCAGGTGG